GTTTGTTTTTGTGTTTTTGTGTTTTGTTTTTGCAGCTCAGGGTCTTGCTTTGGGGATGATGTGCCAAGGATCACTTGACTCGGTTTAGTTCTGCACCGACTAGCGCCTTAGGGAAGTTCTTTGACTCTTATAATCGCCTCTTGTAAAAATTGACTTGAGTTGAGTTGAGCACGTGTGACCCTTTCCTCTTTACCCCCTTGTGCATAGTGCATTTTTTGTTATCGAGGACGATGCCAAAGTTTAAGTGTGGGGGAGTGAATTGGGCATTCGGGCAGTAGTTGTTACATGTGATTATTAGAGTTAGCATGCACATGTGTTAGTTGTATATTCATAGAAAAGTCATGTCAATTTTTTTGAAAATTTTTCTTTAAACTGTGTCTTTGTGAGTTGGCTAGCGTTTTGACTATGTTTTTAGGACATTTTTAAAGTGTTTAGGCTTAAAATGATTGCACTATAATCTAGTTGTTGAGAGGATGAAGACATTAGTCACCCATTGAGTAATTCATAAATCATCCACCCCACCCGAATAAAGTCCTTTAGGAGAAGCCACTTTGAGCCTAACCATTTATTCTTTACCCAATTAATTGAGCTACATAGCCAAATGGCCCGTGATTCCTTACCCGTGAATATTTCTGACAAAGTCTTAGTGTTTAGGGGTCTAGAGGATTAATTTGCTAAGTTTAGGAAATTTTTGTAGGAGCTATTTTTGGCACTGTTCCTATGCCCCAAATGGGGCAAGAGCAGTCACTTTTTAGGAATTTGATACTTTCGAGGATTGCATTGTAAGAATGGATTCACTTTGAATAAATGAACCTTAATTGCTATTTTTTCTTAGTGAGACCGAGATTAGAATGAGGTAATGTCTAGTAAAAATCTGAAAAGTGAAAAATTATTATAGCTAGACCTCTTATCTTGCAAAAAAGAGAATGGGAGTCCAGGTCAAAAAGCGTAAGATGAGATCTGTGTATCTTTCGAAAGAAATGGCGTTCTCGTGCCAACATGACAAGGAAAACTGAACCTAATTAATGAACTTGGAGGCTATTGCAAAATTAGCTTTAGTCCTTCGCGTACTTCAAGTATACGTCAAAGCACAAATGTGCCATGGCGGTTTAGCTTAGTTGTACACCATGTCTACTCTTTGCATATGTTTACATGATAATTCCTAATTAGTGGCCTACTGAATTCCTTGATCCTAAGAATGACCCTGAAATTCCTGAATGCATTGAGTCTTTGTTAGGATGTTCCAAACTCTCAAGAAATGGACTTTTATTTTTTTCCATTGACCATTCACCACCACCTTCACAAGTCCTTCTGATTGGTAGCTAGTTTATTAGTGCTTGTTATCACTACTTTGAGGATGTTGTGAATAATTTTGTCAAATATTTTAGCTTGAGTACAAAGATGTAGTTTAGGGAAGAATTTTCTTTGTTTAGATTGTCTGTTCTGTGAGTATCCCTTTAACTACGTGTGCATGTTAATTATTTTAATTCCGTGGGGTGATTATCGTAAGTCCTGTTGTTCAGTTTGCTTGAGGACAAGCAAAGGCTTAAGTGTGTAGGAATCTGATAAGTCTGTATTTAGACACACATTTGATGTGTGTTGGGATCGGATTTTGATGGTTTTCCTAGCTTTAAGGTGTTGCAAGTCTCAATTTTAGCTCAAGTTATATTTACCAGGTGTTGGTTCGAGTTTTGTGTCATTTGGAGTCAAAATCAGGAATTTGAGATGCACCGGCACTTGAGGAGCAACCAAGATGATTTGAGATGCATTTGAGAGTGGATTGAGAGCTTTGGAGGTCACCGGGAGGTTTACGATGAAGATTTGATGACAAAAGAGCTCTAGAATTGACTACGGGATCAAAAGAAGAGGAATGAAACTTGAAAACGATGATCAGGATGACCTTCTGTCAATCGTTCAAGCATATCTCTTTGTAGAAGAATCCAAAGGACACGATTCAAGTTGAATATGAAAGAAAACTTCAAGGGGTACGAATCATGTGAAGACACCATTGTGAGAATCTGAGAGGAGCAAAGTGAAAACAGGCGATGAAGTCAGGTGATCTCCGTTGCGATTTCAGAATGCCACCTTCCACCATTTTATTCATATCTCTTGATTGTATGATTCAGATCCCATTGGGCAAGTTGTGGTGGATAGAAGACTTCATTATCTACAACTTTCATGAAGGAAGTTTTGTCAAACTCGGTACCTAGCTACTGGAGGCTAGGCACGATCGTGCCTGGAGGTATGCACGACCGTGCCTACTCAAAACGCGCGACTTTACTCCAGAGGCACGATAGAAGGCACGATCGTGCCTGGCACCGAGCCTGCCTCCGGAAATCCCGATTTGAGCCGAATTTTGACTATTTTCTTTAAATAAGACCTCCATACTCATATTTTGTGGTTACGAACATTACGGAGAGGCATAAGGACGATTTTACTTGCGTTTTTATCATTGTTTACTCCAAGACCCTGAGATTATTTGTAAGTTCATCTTTTTAATTAATGACAATTATTTCATTTCATCCCAATTCTATTTATTCTTCAACTAGGAATTGTGAGTAGTTTAATTAGGGATTTGGGGTTGATGAAGGGGTTGATCATGATGTATGGCTATATTCTTGATGGATTAATTGGATGAATGCCGTTTAATTTGTGTTTGAATAATTTAACTGATATCTTTTGTAACCTTGAACCATGACTAGAATTACAATTGCTTATAGAATAAATTAAGAGAGATCTAGTTTATTTTAGGACACATTCACACACACATAATCGTTCACTAAGAGGCTAGTAGCGATTAAGGGGCTGTAAGTTCGTTCGTCTTGGCAATAATTTAGGATCTTGTCGCATGAGAGATTAGGCTGGTCCCCTAAATTATTGTACTCTTCGCCGTAAGAGCGGTAAGAACTTAGTAATGATTAGTTAGGCTCAATTAAATCAATTTCATGTAATTAAGCCTGATCTGCCAGAAATCTGGTTACCCCGGAATCAATCCCTGTTCCCTTCGTCATTAATTAGAGAGAAACCAATCTTTTATTTTTTTCACATTAGTTTAATTTTCCAACAACCAATCATATCTCGCATGACACATTTATTTTATTTATTTTTAATTGCGGAATATAATTAATTCTTGATTCCCTTTTATCCGTCCCTGTGGAGATGATACTCGTACTTAGACCACTATATTACAATCTATTTTAAGTGCGAGAAAACTTACATCACACCTTCATACGGGTGAAGTCAATTCAAGAAAGACGTGATTCGTTCTTCCTTATTACTTTAAAAATTAGAAACACTTGCTCATGGATATTTGCATTGTTATAAACTATTTTGGGCATGCGAGTCCATGTTTTGGCCGGATGTGGCCATTGACTCACCGTTGAATATTTCCGCTATTCATTGGTTTATATGTAATGTTGTTATGTATGCTTACTTACTGAGTATGGATGAACTATGTTCATGAACGACTCTTATGGTTAAGTGAGGTTGACTTGCGAGTGACTCACTTGATAATACAGCGGTTGTACACGATCTTAAATGCGGTTTGGGGCGTGACAAGTCCTCATGTTTTGCCACCTTGCGTTCTTCTGATATTTTCTTTAAAACTTTAGTTGAGTGTTTAAGTTGTCCGTTGGAAGACAGTTATTCTGAGTAATGAATTTAGATTAGTGGACGACGGTAAATTTAGATTAGTTCTTTTGATTTGCGGCAAATTGCTCTGTTGGATTTAGAGTCCCTAATATCTTCATGTTTCGAAATTGGTGGACGACGGTTAGATTCCGCTGCGTGTCCCAGAAAGTCATATGAAAAGTACGAGTCGTCTGATGATTCAAAGCTGCCAGAGGCGTCTGAGACTTGAGTAATGCTTTTGTTTCACAACATAGTTGAAAATTGAACATGATCTTGGAGATGGTTTCCTCATAGCCTGCCGAAGTAGTTAAGATGTTTTCTTTTGGTCTGTTTCAGTCCCAGACCAGACCGAACCAGACCAGATCAGACCAGACCAGACCAGACCATACCAGATCAGACCAGACCAGACTAGACTTGACTTCCGTAGTTATAAAATACACAGAGACCAGACGTTTACCAAACCAGACCAGACCAGATCAGACCAGACCAGCAAATTTCAGTCCAAAAGAAAACATCCTTAGTCCCCGACTACTCCATATAACCTATGTACACATATGGAGCATCTCATTCTCATTGTAATCTCAATATGTAATACATTAATCACTTATTTTAAAATGTCATTTGATACCAAATATTCTTATTTTAGTTTAGAATATCTCATTGGCATTGTTTCATTCGAATTGTCTCATCATCTATTAGGGAGTTAGAGCTGGTTTGGTAACACTAAAATTGGCTGTATTGGCTGATTCTACTGAAATTTATGAAGTTTTGGCTGAAATGGCTGTATTGACTGACTCTGCTGATTCACAAAAAAATTATATTTACAACATTTGTCACTAATAAAAAAATAAAAATTTATATGAAAAATAGCCAAAATGATCTTCTACAGTAACTTTAGCCAATATAGCCAGAAAAGTAACTCCAACTTTACTTTTTTGCTTATTACACAATTAAGCGCGCGAAATAAAAAATTGTGTTTGGTAAAAAAGCAGGCTGATAAGCCGAAAAAAGGGTCACCAAACGTGCTCTTAATCTTATTTTAAAATAGATAAAAGTGAATAATTTGAAATAAATTCTATTAATGAAAAGTAATACTCTGTACTAGAAACTTTTAGAGCAGTGCATGCTTCGTGGTACTTAAAAAACAAAAAAACTTCCCACTCTTTTTTGTAAGAAACGAAAAAGTTTTCTCATTTCTAATTTTTCCATCATATGTTAATAATTTTGAAAATAATACACCATTAAGACATTTTTTTTAAACTTATCATACATTTCATAACTATATTCCACTATCTTCTCATCGCACTCTTAATAATTTATACCTCTTTCATTATTCTTAATACACCTGTTCTTGAAATGAGAACATTTTTATATTAAGGAGGGAGTAATTATGTAAAGGAACAAATAAATTGCACAAGATAAGAAGTATAACCCTAGTTCTTCTTATTCCAGCATTTCTATTCTATGGCAGTTGATCCGAAAACAATCGCAGCGCCCGGGTGTATCTCTACCCCTGCCGGTCGACTGTTGAGTGTTGAGTGTTGAGCTTCTCTCTTGTCACCTTCATCTTTCCCAGCCACCATTCCGCAAGGAAAAGCCTCCCAAAACCAGTCAACTATCCGCAACCACGCAGTACAACCATCATCAACGGATGCGTGCTTAGATCCCTGTCTTATGCAGACGCATTTCTGACGCGGTCCAGGCATTTGACGTCGTATCTGGTAAACGGTACTCCACTTGGACTGTCAGAGGCTTTGCCCTACTCGTCTCATAGTGTCTCAGTGTCTTCCACGCAACTCCCCCTCAGGTTTGGCATATCCGTTGTTCATAGATATATGTATAAGGACTGGTAATAAGTGTATTGGCATTAGTACGGGCTAATGTGCATTGTTGATTGGGATGCTAAACATTTTGGCAACTAACATTGCTTCATTAGTCGGGCTTGGTTACTTACTTTGTCATGTTTGGGACAGGAAATCAGAGCTTTCCTATTGTACTTATATTAAACATGTCAGGCAGTAGTTTTAATAACTGACCTGCTGAAGAAACTTTTTTTGTAGGAATATATGTTTTTGAGATAGTTGGAGGTTGACATAAATATAAAAAATGGAGGAAGCATCTCGCAATATTCAGAGTACTACAGCCACACCAAGTACCGCTAAGATATCCATACTAAAAAACAAGTCTGGATTTTTAATACCAAAGAACAAGTTGGCAGGGTCTCTCGTTCCTGTCTTTAGAGCAGGTAACAAGGATGCCAGTCAGTCAGTAAATGAAGACGTGACTAAGCTGGTGCGGAGAAAAACAAAGTGGGGTACTGATCTAACACAAGATGCAACTGTTAGGAAAGGAAGAGCCTTAGCATATCAGGTATTACTATATAGACCATGAATTATTTTCTTAAACATTCATTCCTTGATTAGTCTCCTCTTGTACGCATTGATTTTATTTTTGAGTAAAACTTTGTCTTTTTAAGTATGTTTTCCTTTAAGCATACAACAACAACATCCAAGCCTTAATCCCAAAAGATGTTGGGGTTGGCTATCACAAATTGATTCATGATATCGGAGCCAAAATGAAAAGAAAGATATGGTATGATAAAAAGGATAAAAAAGTTATGTTAAAGATAAAGATAAATCTAAGAATCTAAGATAGAAATAAAAATGATAAGATAAAAAGGGTATAAAGATTATATGTTTATGGGGCGAAAAGACCAAAAATGACACTAACGTTTTTAATGAATATCGAATTAGACACTAAGGTTTTAAGTAGACCAAATAAACACAAAATTAAAGTTTTTGGTTCCATTTTGACCACCCTTTAACAACTCTGTTAAACAACTCTTCCGCGTCGTTAACAACCCATCCGATTATCTCTTCCGCATTGTTAACACTGTATATGTTTCGTTTTCATTTAAGCAGAAAAGAAAAAACAAAAAACTTTAATTCACTATCATGTGTTTTTGGAAATAAATCTGAATTTCGTATTTTGAATCCGTCCTTGTAGCAATCTGACCAGCCCTGTCGAAACAAAGTAGAGAAATATACACCTAATTTCCTAACACAGCTTACCGAAGCTTCCATATGCAGTGCCATCCCTGCAAGCACATACTCCATATATTAATTTAGCTCTAATAAGTCTTGGGGGCAGGGTATAGACTGTAAACTTAGCTCCAAAAGTCTAGTTCTTTTGGAGAAATTGTCTATTAAATGCACGAGAGATAAACTTTAGTCAGTTTAGAAAGAGAATCGAGAGCAGTCATAGACGGTGCCTGCGTCGAGCTTTTGGTCATTTCTTTGGGAATTTCTTTGGGAACGAGAAATCAAGCGCAAGACTCTCGACGGCGGAAGACTGGAAGTTGGGCTATGAACCATGTATGCCACTTTTTTTATTTGTGTACCTCAATGGATTTTGGGTTTGCATCTATTTGGAGTTCGTAATCACAAGGAGCGACCAGATGATAACAGAGAAATGAACCAATTAACGGAGATGTTAATGGTGGCCGAAAGTGAATCACAAAGTTCAGTTTTGTGTTTATTTGGTCTACTTAAAACCATAGTGTCCAATCTGAAATTCATTGAAAACCCTAGTGTCATTTTTGACCCTTATCCCTATGTTTATTCATCTACATGTGTCTTCTAATTATGTGTATCTTAATTTGCCTTGTTTATTCATTATATGTTATGGAGTGGAGTATTACTAGTCAATAGTCATGTTAATAGGAGCTCATTAGAAACAGATTGGACTTTTATTTCTCTGATTTTTGGGAGGAATATTTTTGTTGCTCAGTGGCAATTAAAAATTTTCCTTTTCCCATTGGGTGCTGAGATGCCTGTGTTTTGTGGGATTGGCTTGTAGCAACTGTTCCATACCAGGTGCCAATAAGTGATATTGCTCCATATGTGATGGTGAAAATTTTGAGCAGACTCGCGTGGATCAAATCACACAACAACTAAGTTCACAATCTGCAGATTGGGACGAGAACCATGATGTGTTGTCTACGTCTACTATAGAGGATTCTACCCTTGATGTTGAGGTAACATATCTTTGGAATGTGGTAGTTAATTTATTTAATTTATACCTGGTTATAGTCTTCAAACAGTCATATTTTTATGCAGATGCGGAATTTAGAAGTGTTGGAACTTGAAAAGCGAGAAGCCATTGGTATGTGAATTTGAAATACTCTCCCTTCTCTGTTTTCACTATTGTATTTAATTGTTTGGTATGGTATAATTTCAGGTGAAATTATAAAACTTAATCCTAACTATAAACCTCCTGCTGGCTACAAACCTGTCCTGAAAGAAGCAAAAATTCCTATTCCAGTAAGTGCAAAAGAATGGGTGTAACATTTTTCGTTAACCGTCTCTCCCCCCCACCTTATAATAATACTTTGGTTTACTGCATATGCACACATGCTATTTTCACCATTTGTTACTAACGGAGGTCATTGTAATGAGCAATGACTGATGAGTTTTAATACTACCTACTCGTTGCATTAACAATGTGCTAGAATTGAGGGGAGGGGGTTAGCAATGGAATGGAAGGAAGGTGATTATAAAGGAGGGGGTGTGAAATAGTCAAACTCTGATTGAGATGAGTGGGTTTACTAATGGGAAGGTAGACAGATACGTAGGATTTTGATTTTTTTTTTTTTACTTTGGATTACAAAAGAAATGGAAGGAGATTAGGAGAGTGATCTAAGTTGTAAAAGAAAATGATTTTAAGGGAGATTGTCATTTTTCCTCCGTGCATTTCATCGCAAGTTGGAGTGATTTCTTTTGAGGGGAATGGGATGCATCAACCCGTTAACCTCCCTCTCAATTCACTCCTAGCCGTACTAAAGAAAAAAGGACGGATTTATGATAGACGTGGAAGAAATCAAGGAAAATCAGCAAAATAACGAGTCAATCATTCATAGATTCCGGGGATCAGATTGATTCTTGAAACCAGAGCCTTGATATCACTCCTTTACTAAGGACTTCCCTTAGCATAAGAGGTTGTGAGAGATTTGTAGAATTTTAGGACTGCTTAGTCTTGGGCAAGTTATCTTGCTAGGCATAACATTGATTATATCATGTTTCTTTCTTTCATATTCTACACGTTTTTAACTATTTATGTAATTTTCTTTAAATTCATAAAAGATCAATTTCTTTAATGTTTATTTTTCCCCTTGTCTCTTTACTCTATCATCCTCTCTCCCTTCCCCCATTCTCATAATTTCAAAAAAACCCTAAGAGTAAAAGGTCGAGTCTTCTGTAACTAGCACATCAACCACTAACAACTGGGCATGTTATACGGGTGATTAATCATTTCTGAAGGCAATTCCTGCTAGGTAATGTTGAAGGTAGCATGTAAGATGGCAATAGCAGTACTATAAAATGCTACAATAGCAGTAATGTTTTATAAATAAAGATCATATTGCCTGGCGGTTGGTTGCAATGATAGTGCGGTGAAAGTTGAAATCATTTCCTACTGCAAAAATAAATATATGAAATACTAGAAGTGTAATATTGTAATGTCTAACTGTGCATCCAAATTGACTAATGACTATTCCAATGGAGGTTTTACTATTTGTGCTGCATCAGAACGTTCGGCGCTCTAAAGTAGTAAGAATAAAATGTACTGCATATGCCATGACATTAATGACTAATATTTCTATCCAAAACAGGGGACCTTATGAGGCCTTTCTGCTTGTTTCCCTGCAGATCAAAGAACATCCTGGGTACAATTTCATAGGCTTGATCTTTGGATCCATGTGTGACACTCATAAACGTTTGGAAAAGGTGAATTTTAATCCTGATTTTCCTTGAGTGGTAAGTTCTGGTTCCAGATATGCCTATCTCTTTTTAATTTTTGTTATTCAGGAAACTGGAGCTAAAGTAAAAGTATATGGTATTAAAGAAGACACTGGACAAAAGGTAAATCATGCACCATAACTTGGTATCAGTTTGCCCCAAGGGGAATTCATGCACATGCACGCAAAGGAACTCCTTGCTCTTTAAACCTGACACTGGATCTATACTTTATGATCTAAAATTAGACCTCCCACACAGTAAAACACACATGCTCACATCACTAGGTTTTAATAGTCATCTGATTTTTTTGTAATTTGTATACAACATTTTTAGAATATGGTGAACAATACAATACAATATGAAGTTGAAGCAATCATATTCTATTGCATCAATGGGGCTAGCTACATGAATACATAAGTATTTCCCGTGGTCAGCCACCGAGTCCTTCCATTTTTATTCTTTTTGGTCATCTACCATGTGCTCATTAAGCCTAACACTTTGGTATCCCTCTTTAAAGTATCCATGTCATTTTCGTCTTACCATGACTTATATTTAAATCTCCAACACTTCAAGGCTCAAGTCTTCATATCAAGGTACTTGCTTTTTTTATGGTGGACAATTGGACATGCTTGAAGCAATGTAAGTATGTAACATCTTGTTCCTTACTTTTTCTTCAGCAGTTGCTTCACTCACCCACTCTTCGTTGTACAGCACTGTCTTTTCTCATCTTACAACATCTCTGCTGAAACATACTCATCTTCATGTTGCTCATCTTCTTTATGAAATCTTTCTATATTGTTCCTGTCTCCCCTGTTCATTTAAGTCAACCAGCAATGTTTCTACGTGTCACATCTTTGTCAGTATCTTCATTTATTTGTATAAAAGATTCAAAATCTTGAAACAATTGCGCATTGACATCATTTTCATCTAATTCCTCGTGACCTTTAATTTTATTTTTAATCTTTAGTGGTGGTTATTTTGCACTCCAAGTTCTCTGTTTGACTTTGTCTTATCATAATCTTTGGGATTCTAACACGTGTCTCCATTCCAACTTAGCATTTATCACTTCCTTAGATCCATCAATCACATTATCATCTGCATAACATTAATTTTAGTCAAATAGTGTTGTTTAATATTTTTCCATGCATAATATCCAATGGAGCCAAAGACTCACTATTTTTTGGCTTGGAATATGATGGAATAAAGCAAAATGGCTCACTAAACTGTTTGCACTTCTTTGTACAAAGAAGTAGCAGTCAGTCCATGTAATTTTCGACTCGATTTTCATTATGGGTCATCCGAAAACAGCCTCTCCCTGCTTTAGTATAGGGGTAAGGTTGCGTACATCTGACCCCCCCTTACCCCCCGTAGGTGGGAGCCTTTGCGGCACTGGGGTAATGATGATGATGAAGATGAGTGTTGTTTAATATGTATTATTAATTTATAGTGTTAATGAACATTGGATGATTAATGGATAGTGTTTTTTAATTTATTATGTCAATTCACAGTATCAAAAAACAATTTTAAATTATTTGATACACTATAAATTGAAGGTCGTCGTAGTTGGGAGTAAGATGTAGTGATGTGCATATGATGGTGATAATGATCTTTCAATTAATTAAAGAAAGTCAGAGTATAATTTTTAAAATTGAACTGTGTTTAACACTATTTACTCACAGTAGCTTGGAAACATCAGGCCACCGGACTGTACTCATATCATGCAATGTATTGTATAAAGGCAGATGAAATAATATAGAAGAGCTGAAGAGGATTATCCAACATAATGTAGATGAGATTGTTGTCTGTATTTCATGTATTTTATTATAAAAATACAGAAACACTATTCTTGTCTATATTATGTTGGATAATCCTCTTCTTTGCTAAGATGAAGGATCATGGATTGCATGATACACTTTTTTAGCTCATTCAAGCAGTTATCCAATACCTTAGTTAAGACTCAGCTACTGACATCTTTAATTAATAATACAACCTTTACGCAATAGACACCTTACAATAAAGTGTTTCATAGTATGAGAAAACAAAGTCCTGCCATAACCATGCTCTAGGTAATAAGGCACTTCTAACTATATGAAATCCATCTGATGTTGCTCACTTGTTCATGATGTTTTCTAATTTTTTTAATTATGTAATTTATCATGTTGTACCTTTTTTGATGTATATCTTAAGCATTTACACATTTGGCATCAGTGAAGTCCTATATTGCCTTTGTAGGGGTCCTTTACACGATAAATTCTTATGTCTATAAGTAACAGAATATAATTTGATATTATCTGGGCACCGCTTGATTGAAAAAGTTGTAATGAAAAGCATGTCCGATGTCCTTGTGAAAAGATCTAAAGGTATTTAGTTTAATACTTTTAGTCTGTCTAATGGATATGACCTTTCGTCATGAAATACCTGTGATGTTTTCTATTTTATTCACTCATTTCCCCAAAGACTCGCTATTTTTTGGCTTGGGAATATGATGAAATAAATCAAAATGGCTCACTAAACTGTCCGCGCTTCTTTGTTATGAAGCAGCAGTCAATCTATGCAATTTTTGACCCCAATTTTCACTATGGGTCATTTGAAAACAGTCTCTCTGTACTTTAATAGTTTAATACAGAGGTAAGGCTGTGTGCATCCCCCCTTACCCCACCGTAATTGTGCGGCATTGGGGTAATGATGAAGAAGAAAAAGAAGAAGAAGATTTCTCCAAAAGGATTACTCTCTAGATAGATTGTCTTTATAAAATGTATGCATTGAAGAATGTAAGTTGTTGTCTCTTTTAATTAGAGAACTGTCAATAGATTAAAGGTTAGAAACAGGACAACTCAAGTAAAAATTATTCTTCTAGAAATTCAAGCGATTTGTCATTGGGGTCTTGTTTCCATAGTTTACTACGGAGTACTACCTTTGTCCCTTTAAGATTGGGAAAAGAGGGGGCTCTGCGGTTTCTAAGAAAAGTAGAGTTATGTGGTTGGTATTGAATCAGTAAAATGTGAATTAAAGTAAGAATGAATTTGAACCGCACAAATGTTACCGAATATGGTACGGGACAAACTCAGTGGGACAAATGAAAAAGGAAACAATGGGACACTCATAGTGGGACAGAGGGTGTGGTACTGTTTATCATATTGTCATAAGCAATAGAGAACCTCCAAATAGTGATTTTACTCAAACCCGCTTGATACTCTAATTTTAGAGTATGTTGAATCTGTGAGGACTTGCCGAGTACATACTAGTTGACCCATAGACCTTATCAAGTTGTTTACTCAGTCCAATTAAAAAACTGAGTTTCTCTAGGCGATTTTCACAACTTAGTGAGTCTGATTACTTTGAGAGTAGTTCAGTCATTGTTAAATATTAAGATTGAAAATAAAAATTGGGTCATTATGAGATTAAAGAACTTAGGGACTTCAATTTAATAGGATACTTTTTGAAAACTTTAATAGTTCATAGGACAACAAACTGATGAAGTTTCATTCAAGATGTGTTAATGGACACAGAAGCATTTTTTTAAATTGCGCAATGCCTTACCGCCTCAAGGCGTGCTTTTTCATTTTTCCTTATATACGATGAGAGGTGTATCTCATTTAAGCAATATATAAAGCTGCACAATTGTAGCTAAGGCGTACCCCTGTTGCGTACGCAATAGGGCGTTTACTGAGGCGCGCCTTATGGTGAAGGGTGAGCCCCGTGGACAAGAAGTTGGGCCCACTTCTGAAATGAAGCCCAAATATGCTTCAAATCTTACGTATGTTAGGTCTCCTGTGCCTTCACCTCTTCTGTGCACCTTTGGGATTACTTCTTCTCTGTGAGGCCGATGACTACAAGTGAAGACAGTTGCTACAGGAGTGCGAGTCTGCGTTCCAATAGTTATGTGCGAAGGCTTATGTGAAGCTTGCGTCAATTTTTATCTTATTCTCTTTCTTCACCACTTGAGGACAACCACTAATAGTTCTAAATTTTTTTAATCTGTTTTCATATGATGTAAAACTAGATGATTTTACCCTGTACCTGATTTCAAGAATAATTTAGCACTGTAGGTATGGTTTCCATTCCATTAAAAAACGTATGGTTTCGATTATATGATCTGCTGCATTTGACGAATGGTTTTAATCTTTTCTCCATGTATATATGCTTTGAACAATTTTTAAAATACTTTTTCATATAATGCGTTGGATGGATCATGGGTGTTTTTTATTTTCTATATTTGTTACTTTCTAATTATGATATTTATGATTGTCCTAATTTAACCTATAAGTAATAACATGAATATAGAGATGTGAAAAACTATACAATTAAGAATAAAACTCGACACACTAATTAATGGTTTATTAATTTTTTTGTTAATTATAATACTTGTTAATGTGTTGATATAAAATATGAAATACTGATATCTATTTCAAATGACTAGATACCTATGATTCACATATGGACTCCTCAATCTAATAAACTTAGAATTGTAGTAGATTAGAAAATATTAGCTTTGTGTTATTGTTTCTTCTGTACATAAACACAACTAATAGTAATAGGAACTTGTATGAGTGTATCATATATTTTAAATAGTTTTACTAATATAGGCGGAGTGGAGTAATCACCAGTTACTCCAGAGTAGCTGTCCTAGTCATTACGAGGCCTTTATTTGAGTAGATACTGACTAACCAAGTAACATTTTGATTACATTGGCACTAGTTTCCTAGTCTTGTAAAACTAGATGGCCATATGCTCGAGTCACAGCCATCTAGATTAGAAGTACTATTGTCTGTTAACCACTTCGCATTACCAGACACGTAGTAACTTATTGTTTATTATATTCAAATCCCTCAAACTCTTGATTTAAATGTTCCAGGTTGAAGTCATGCCTGCTAATGAAAATGAGACATGCAGTACATACAAGGAGATGTATGTTCAAGTGTTGGCTGATACATATGAGAAGGCTGATACAGCGGTGTCATTAGTCGAACTTCTGGTCACTCCAGTCTCGGTGAGTGAAACAACTATTTCCATCATTTTCATTTTCATTTACCCCAGTGCCGCAAAGGCTCCCACCTACGGTGGGGTAGGGGGGGGGGGGTTGGATGTACGCAGTCTTACCCCTGTACTACAGCACAAAGAGACTGTTTCCGGATGACCCATAGTGAAAATCGCGTCCGAAATTGCATGGAGCGACTGCTGCTTCATAACAAAGAAGCACAGACAGTTTAGTGAGCCATTTTGCTTTATTCCATCATATTCTCAAGCCAAAAAATAATGAATCTTTGGCTCCATTGCAAATGATGGACATGAAACAACTATTTCCATGATCAAACAATTAGTTAAATACTCCCTCCGTCCAGAATTGTAAGGCACTTTATGCTTTACGATGTTTGACCGATAAAGCAAATAGATCCCTGTCTGCACTCAAGTTATTTTTAGGAAAAAAGAATTACATATTCAGAAACTACATTAAAAGCTTTACAAAGTCGCAAAAACCAGAATCAAATTTGACAAAAGAATGATATATAAAGTAAGAGATTAAGAGTAATTTGTGTTGACCAAGTGAATAGAAAAAGTATCTTACAAAATAGGAGTTAGGGAGTATTAATTTCCCTGTAGTTTTGTTGTGTCCACTTGTAATTAATATCATGCCCTACTATGCTTTTAGATGAAGACAGGTTCTGAATCCAAGACTATTTCTAGTAATGATGGCAACATAGCTGCTGATAATTCAGGAGGAGTGGTTCAACAGCCAATCATAGAGGGGTCTGATGTTGCTCTCTCACATGGTCATTTCCAGCAGGGCCCTTGGTTTCCTGGAATTCCATCTCAAAGTACACTACCAGGATCAATCCCCTCTACGGAACCTTTGGCAAACCCCTCAAATACACCACCCTCCCTATTAAGCCCGCAGGCTATGGTTGCTAGATTTGGCTCAGTTCCTCAAAGCCATCCACTCGCATTTATGGCAAGGTCAAATATGCCACATCTACTTTCACAGCAGCCCCTTCCTCCTATAAATCCTCTCAGTGCTCCCAATTCTGCAGCTCTTCATCGGTCCCAAGTTTTTAGACCTGGTACTGTCCCTAGCCAATTACAGCCCTTTGCCAATGCATGGAACTCGTTAGTTGTTCAAGGCGGTAATAATGCAATGCCAACAATTTCACCTTTAGCTCCCCCCCAACAAGGAGGAAGTAGCCATGCGATGGCCTCTATAGGACCGTCCCCGCCCCTAGGCTATCTACACGGCAGTATGCCTGGTTCTGCTATTAGCCAGCAGCCTGCTAATCCTTTGCTTCAATCTCAATCCATAAGCCCTAACAACTCGGTTAAAGGAAGGGCTTTGAACTTTGATGCCATTCATCCTAATTCCATGGGTGCTCCAAGGCCACATCAGCAATCTGGTTCAAGCGATTTTATATTCCAGCCTCACCGACCAAATCAAGTTTTTCCAAGGCCTGCTGATAGTCAATCTGACCCTCCAACTAATTTTATACGACCCCCACAATTATTGAATCATCCAGGTCATCCACCTCCTCAGCCTCCATCCGTTTTTAGACCAGAAATCCGCAATTCAAATCCCTTGCATGTGATGCAAGGCTTCCCTGAAATAAACCGGATGGTTCAACGACAACCGACGCCTGTTGGATTTTCTGCAGGTCCTACTGGCCCTTCACCTCCAGCAATAAGGCCGATGGCATTTCCAAATTCAGGCAGTCAACCTCCAGTTTCCTTCAGTCAGATGCAGCATCAGAGGAACTTCAGTCCACTGGCCAACCCTGGTAGTCCATTTCCTCCACGAACGGGTAGTATGATGTTTCAACAGAATAGTAATCCAGGAATGGTGGCTCACCTACCACATGAGTTCCGTCCAGGTAACCCTGCTTCTGGCACTCCGGGAATGCAGCAAAGATATGATCCCTTTTCACCAACATCTCTCTCGTAAGCTGTTTCCCATAACTAAAGTACAAAAGACACTGTATGTGGAACATGTGGCCCGTCTTTTGTTTAGCAAGTTCTAATTTTGTCAGATGGAAAAGTGAAGGCAGATCAGTGCCCCTGCTATGCACACCCAATTCACACATTTATATTTGTTAAGAAATGGGATACTAGCTGTGCTTGGAGGGTCAAACAGGTGCTTTCCACCGTGGGTGGTTATACTACTCTATTTTCTACCTTGGAGTTAAAACTAGCTCCTTACCACCTAAAAAAGCCATTCCTCTTAAGGAAAGACACAAAACATGGAAAAGTTTCATTTAGATTTGTTACTTAGCTGGAATACATCATACACTCGACATGGTCGACAAGAGTTTGATTAGCGGTCTGCAATATGACCTTATTTTGTAAGGGCAAATTTGATTGAGAATGCTGGTAACTTGGGGGAGACTGAATTTGTTGAGATCGTGACTGATATCTGAGCTTGGAATTGTTGTAAAGCATTCTCAATTCTTCTTTTGCACGTTTTTCATTGTCGGATATCAACTGTTTTTTTTAATCGTTCGGATATCAACTGGTTAAAATTTAAAAACCCTAGCACAGGTAAATAAGTTGGTGATTTAATAAATAAATTGGCTATTATATTAACTAGGTTGTCAGTTATATACATGTATATGACTTCATGTCAAACCAGTACTCAGTAGAAGTTACTAGTTACTACTTGAAGGTTGTTATACTTGCTCAATAGTACCTAAATACTCCATCTGTCTTCAATTCTTCGCATGAACCTTTTCTGGATGTCTCAATTTTTTTCTTTCCTCTTTCCCATTTTGAAAAGTTTTGTATGACCAACTTTGTTTATTCTTTTCTTATTCGATCATAATTATACATTTTCTTTTATTCTCACTTTCTTAAATATTGCAAACCGGAGAAAATTTTATGAGTTGGAGTACAAAATTGGATATCGATGGATAAAAGGGTTTTATCACGAAACTTCTTATGATATACTCCCTCCGTAACTTTAGAATCTTCCCATTTCAAAAGTAGGTAGATTAAGAATAGTGAAAGATGATATGAATTATTGAGGGTATGATGGGAAAATAGTGGAATAATGTGGTGGAATGTAGGATAAATCCAAAAAAAGTAGTTGTAATAGTGTATTATTTTAAGAATTATTGAGGATATGATGGGAAGATTTAGAAATGGGAAGATTTTTGTGTTACGGACGAAAAAGGAAAGTGGGAAGATTTTTAAGTTACGGAGGGAGTATAAATTTGGCATATCAGTTACATATGATTTAAAAGTGTATCCAACTCATTTGTGTTGTAATTATTTATGCGCAAATTTCCCTTTAAGAGCAAATCTAACTATTTGAAAATCACTAATCAACATTATGGGGTTTAATACTTTCAAAAAAATTGCGTATTTAAGAGCAAATCTAACTATTATGTGGTTTGAAAATTGCGTCAAATTTTCATGTGTTATAATATTCATGTGCAAAATTCCTTATATGAACAAATTTAATTGTTAAATAAATGGAAAATGATTAATAGTTATGCATAACATATTTAATCATAATATGAAGACAAGTGATTTCTAAAATGTTAAATTTGTTTTTGGATGGGATTTTGTGCATGCATAATGACAAAACAGGGGGCTTGACATATTTTTTAAATCACAGAGACTAATGCGTCGAATTTATATATCACAATGGGTTTGGTGCAATAAATTCTAATATTATGATTGACTATGCTAGTAAATTTGTCAAGATCTCTAAATTATGAAAAACAATAATCATTTTTTGTGTATTTGACAATTAAATGTGTTCACATGAATAATTATAGCACAGAGAAGATTGATACTTTTTTATATCACAAAGGCTAATACACTAAATTTATACAAGTATATTACGAGGGGTTTTGTGCATTAAACTCACGGATCATTTCATTTTCATTTTCACTTTCATTTACCCCAGTGCCGCAAAGGCTCCCACCTACGGTGAGGTAAGAGGGGGTCGGATGTACGCAGTCTTAACCCTGTACTAAAGCACAGAGAGACTGTTTCCGGATAACCCATAGTGAAAATAACATCGAAAATTGCAAGGACTAACTGCTGCTTCATAACAAAATGAGTGTTTGAGTTTGCTTAAAAAAAGCGCTTTTCAGCTTTTGACTTAAAAAAAGTTGAAAAGAGTGTTTTCAAATGACAACTTCTGCTTAAATTAATCACTTAAAAGCTAAAAGCTGGAAGCAAGTAGAAGAGTGCTTTAAACTGCTTCTCACTTTTTCTATTACACAAAAAGTACTTATTTTACCAAACACTACCAACTTTTACTTTTCCAGAATCACTTTTTTCTCAAACACTACCAACTTTTACTATTAATCACTTTTCCCAAAATCACTTTAAAAAATTACTTTTTTTAAGTTGAAGCAATTGCAAACACTCCCAAAGAAGCATGAATAATTTGGTGAGTCATTTTGCTTTAAAATCACGGATCACGGATAAAAATCCAAAAAGGACACTATCACGAATTCATAGTTTTGTGACTTCATTTCACAGTATCAGTACTTCAGTAGTGCTACTTGCCGGTGGTAGATGAGTGAGTGCCTATGCGGTAAAGCCGACTGTATGGCTTGCACCGTACAACCGGTGACAATTTTGTAAATTTTGTGAAAAACGTGATTTCTCTGAGATGAGCAATAAAGCAATCTTAATGAGCATCAATATATTATGTTGAGTATTAGGAGTCTAACAATGACATCGTGATCTCTGCTTTATATCTACTAATTTTCTTTCTTTTTCTTGGTTTTTCTTTTATAAAAAAATTCTTAAATTATATTTATAATGAACTCCTAAGAATTTTAATATGTGAATCTAATGTAATATGCTACTTTTTAAATATGCATTGATATGATTTAAATTGAGCATTAAACCAGTACAAAATGAGCATACAAAATTTATGAAATGAGCATTGATATGAAATAATAAGCTTTGTTAGGTAAGCATCAAGACATTTTTATTGAGCACCAAACCTTCTCTATTGAGTATTAGATGCAAGCAATTGAGTATCATGATCTCAGCTCTCGTGTCTATAATCAACTCTGATGTGAATCTAATGTAATACAGAGTATGTTAGTTTTGAAATGAGCATAAAACCAATATTAGATGAAAATTCAAAAGCGCGTTTGAATTCTCTAATGTGTTCAAATATTCGTTCGTATATGCTCTTTTCTTTAAATTGTTATACTCATTCGAATATATAACATAAAGTCATACTCCTTTCTATAATATAACATCTAGTAGATTTGTTATTTACAATTTAATAAAATATCATTATGTATAACAATGAGAAATATAAAGTTATTTTATTGAAAATAATTTATAGTCTTTCTTGAATTACAAGTATAATTGTGTTGTTTTTATAATATTTACTCATGCACATTTATTTTACATTATACTCATTTTAGTATAACACAAAATATTTAATACCTAGTAAAATAATAAATATGCATCTTAAAATAAAACATAGAAAAAAACATTAATAACTAAAATATTTTATAATGCATAAATTAAAAAAACGTAAATCAGAAGGTTGGTTGGAAAAAGAAAAACAACTGGGACATCAAATAATATTTTACATAATTATATTATACATTTTTTTATAAAAATTGAATATAAAATTAAAGAAAAGTAGTTTTTTTTAGTAAAAAAAAAGTAGTTTAAAAAAGAAAAGAAAGAAGAAAGAAGTAGGAAAGCAAGGGGGTCAAACAGGGAGACCCTTGTCTCCCATATATTTGCATTTTAGCTCTTCCATGTTACCCACATGATTATTCTTGGCATGACTTGTCTTAATTCTTGTTTTGTGTTGTCGGTTTTCCCACCTAGCCACCATTTAAATAACAAAAATCTGTTTGCAGTCACTCTTATACCGATTTTTTTGTCTATGAATCCCGCTCACCGACCAAATATGTCTATGCAAATTATTGTCTGTGAATCGGATTCACAGACAAAAAAAAAACTCCTCACAAACATAATGAGTATAAGGTGGATATAAAAATGTGTTTCAGAAGAAGTCCTCATATGTTGCAGTGCCCACCTGCAAAATGTAAGAGAAATAGTCCCAAATTGGACGGATTAGTGTGCATGCGAACAGACAATGGTCCATAGTTTCCTGATGTTGTAGACAGAAAGGGCACTGTGTGGCCATTTGGATGTTGAACCTTCTTAGATTTTCCGGAATCGGGAGGGATCGGGTTAAGTATTTCCAAAGGAAGGCTTTGAGCTTTATAGATAGATTGGAGTTCCAAACTTGTGTGTGAGTAAAACTTTTGTGTGCTACCAAATACCAATCATTGTGCATTTGTTGGTGTTAAGCAGCTGACCAGACCCATCCGTGAAGCTTTGGAGGAATTTTTTGAGGTTGACGAGGAATTTTGCAGAACCATTCAAGAAGATCATTATATCATCGGTGTAGCAAAGATCATTATACCATTCAAAAATTCAAGAAATTACTACTACGTACAAAAAAATTGGGAAAAATTGGAGATATGAGAAATAAGGAGTTCAAGTAGAGGAGAAAAAGATATTTATAGACATGTCCGTCTTAATGATCATAGGACTCAAAATTAATATTGGACAAGTTGAGTGTGTAAAAGATGTTTATTTATACTTGAAAAGGAAGGAAATTCACCAGAAGTAAATTAAAAATTGTTGATATAAACTAAAAAGAAGGAAATGAGAAGAAATAAAAGGAAAGGAGACGAAACAAAAAGGAAGGAATAGGAAGGAAAGAGAGGGTCAAAGAGAGACAGACGTCATACTTTGATAAATTAAAGCACAAAATTGCATGGCAAATCAGAATTTTGTGAGGATCCAAATAGAAGTTAAAGAGAGGGTTGGAGAAGTTTGAGAGATAGATGTTTTTATTGGGCTCAAAATTTCTAGTCTGATCTAGTGAGTCCAATGTTCCAAAAGGCACTAGGTGCTAGTCGGACGCCAACCTAGTGCCTAGGAGGGACTAGTTGCGGACACAGAAACTGTGTTTTTATAGTGATTTTCATAAATATGATACGGAGTAGATTATAGTGTTTGTATGTGTTAAAAAACATACAAACATTAACATGCATGAGTGATAAAATTATGACATTTAATAATATATGACAACTAATCACTCAACTTCATTGTGTTTTAAATACTAAATAATACGTAGTAATAAATATAAGTATATATATGTAGTAATAAATTTAAGTATAAATCTAACTTTCTTCCCAGTGTAATTTTTTGATGAAAGTTTTTAACCGTGTTCTTCATCAAGTGTAGACGATCTCCACAAAATTTCAATTGAAAATTCGTTCGGGGAATGAGTTAAATAAATTGGTCAAGCATACTGCGCATTATTTATATATATAAAGCGTAGTATGTTTCAATATTTTATTTAGCTGACTTCCCGCTTGAATCTTATGCTAAAATTTTATGAAAATAATTTAGACTTGATGAACATGCTCAAAAAAATTTCATCAAAAAATTCTACAAGAAGGACCTCAAATGGCATCAATCTTGCAACAATTCCCATCAGGCCAACCTAATATGAGTTATCATACAAACATATATAGTTTTTAACATAAATATATCCCTTTACAAAAAGAAAATTACAAAGCAAAAAAATGTTCGATTGAATCTAGAGGCCCCATGCAACCGATTAGGCGTTCTGAGTGAGCAACTAAGAGCAAAACAAATTATTCG